ATTTAGTTAGTTAGTTAGTTAGTTTATGGTATAATAGATGTTCTGTTTTATAGTTTAATATGTTGTAGAAAGTGCTTTGTGACCATATTCTTTTTAAAGGCTGCACTGTTTGTGTACTGATGAACATTAAAATAGCAAACATTCATGTATGAGCATCTTTGAATATGTTTGTCATTGTCCCAGAGATAACTGATAGGCACTCAATTATAACTGATAGGGACTAGGTTTCCATGGAGAACTTTGAGCAAATATCAGAAGTTGAATTGGTACTGACCAGTTAGGGACACTGTGGAGAGAATAGTGGACATAAGAAGCAGCAAAGACCCTGTAACAAGATGACATTAACTGTGTTGGAGGAATCAGACCATGGGGTAAGTATAGCATTAAATGGATCTGGAAGTATGGGTAGGAGCTAGATCATTCAGAGCTGGGTTTAAGGCTTTGTTTTGTTTTAAGAACACAAAAAAACTATTGAACTTTTTGTTGGGGGTGAGTGTGTAGAATATATTCAAATTTGTATTTTCAACTTTTCATTTTACTACTGAGTAAAGAATAAACTGCAGAAGAAAGGAGTCATGTTAGGAGGCTTTTGTAGGAATTAAGGCATAGTAGTAGCTTGGACTGAAGTGTGGTAGTCATTTGGTGGAAAGGTGTGGTCATATTCTAGAGATATTTAGGTTACATCATTGTCAGTACTTGGTGGTGGGATGAAGATGAGAGTAAGGAAGAAATTGCTGAGGTGATGGCATTCCATTCTGGCCCAGACATTTGTTACAAAATATTTTTTGGATATGAGGTTAATATTTTTCCCTTTTTGTTTTTTGCTTGTTGGTTCCTGATAAATTCTTTGTCAATTTAAGGAAGTCTTCTGTTTTTAGTGTACAAAGTATTTTGATCAAAAACAACTATTTTAATTTTTCAAATACATTGTAAAACATCTGTCAGTTTGGTCCCATATTTCCTTTCCTTTATTACTTAAATTATTATTATATCAATGTAAGTATTTTTATTAATAGATCTTCTAAAGTTGGGTCATCTTGCATTCTTGGAGTAAGGTCTTTCGTGGTCATGGCATATCATTCTTAATAATTATTGTTGGATTAGATGTGCTGATATTTTCTTTAAGATTTTTATGTCTCCATTTGTAAGTGAAATTGGACCTTTTGAAAAAGAACTTTTTTTCTTTTCGTATATATAAATGACCCAAATTATGTTGTTTTGTTAGATATTTGATTGATGTAGAAGGCATGAGGCCAGATGATGCAATTGAATGTAAGTATGAGGGTTGTCACTATTTTTTCCTTTTCATAAAAGTTAAAGGTAAAAATGTAGATGAATTTCTCAAATTTTGGGAAAAATAGTTCGTAATTCATTTGTTCCAATATAACAAATTTAAAAAAGGAAAAGAAAACTAACTTTTGGGGCTGGGGGTATAGCTCAGTGGTAGAGTACCTGCTTAGAATGCTTGAAGCCCTGGGTTTGATCTCCAGCACCAAAAGAAAAAAGGAAAGAAAAACAAAACCCAAACAAGATAATCTTTTTCCGAAGTTTATAAAGGAAAATATTTGGAAGTAGTGAGATACAACAGCCTAAATAATTAGTCAATGAATTTCAGCTTTGGTTTACTTTCTCTTGGAAAGTTTTGTTGTCTCTATAATTATTTCTAACAGTTCATCCACTCCTCAGTATTCAATAGGTGCCGGGGACATTGCATAGAAAGACAAAACTACATTGAAGACCTTCAGAATGGTCCTGTCAGAAAGTAAGTCTTATATGTGAGATTTGTGGTTAGGGAGCTCTCTTTTGTGTAATTCAAACTGTATATATCCATCTTCTGGTAGCTTATTCACTTGCTGGGGGGAGCCTTATAAATAGGGATGGTCAGAGGAAGGAATTTTCATTTTTATAAGCCAAAATATTTAGTCACTTAATTTACTACCACGTTTGGAAACCAGTAATATTGTATGGAAATGCTCTCTTTGAGGAATTGGAATTCCAGTGTATCCAGGTCAAGTGATTTTGAAGACTCAGCACATCTCATGGAACCAGTCCACACCTCTAACAAGTCTGGTAACCAAGGGTCTAGGTATAACTTACATCGGACCTATGGTTATCCAATGCCTTCCCGGCGTTTTCACACCCAGTCCCCACACTTGCAGCAGCCATTCAGGTACCTCTGCTTTTCCTTTTTCTGAACCTAAAATAGAAATTAATACTATAAATCATTGAAAATATGTTTTGATAATGATGAGCAGTTGATGTTTTCTTACTGATCATTGTAAACCAGAAGGTGTCATCTTGTTCTGTATTTTGAAAAATCAGATACTAAGTAGAGAAATAGGAAACTTCAGAGGCAGTTGGAAGGGAATTTCGACATTTTCATTGATTTGTAAACTTCAGTCTGATATGTCTACCAGAAAGAATCTTGCATTCTTAGACTACATGAATTGTGGTGTGGTTTTCAGAATAAGGAAAAAGAGTAAATATAAATTAAGTGAAAATAATAAAATAGCAATAGAAACATTTGCAAAGGATTTGAACAAATAAATCACAAAAATATTTCACTTTGGAAATGGGGAAAATTTCAGTTTGATTAAAATAGTCTATTGACTTTCCAAAAAGAGAGAACCAATAGGAGATAGATAGATAGATAGATAGATACATACATACATACATACATACGTACATACATAAGCAAGTCTTTATTAGGGAAATTGGTTCATGTTATTATGGAGGCTTAGAGATCCTACAACTGGCTTCTGAAAGCTAGAGACCTAAGGATGCCAAGTGAAAAAAACATCTGAACCAGAGAACCTGGTAATTCTCAGACTTAGTCTTGACACCAAAGGCCTGAGAATCCATGGGTTTTGGACATGGGAAGGTAGGGGAAAGGGGTAACTACTCATGCAAGTCCTAGAGTCCAAGGGCTGTGACTCTTGGAGTTCTGATATCAAGAACAGGAGAAGAAGGGTGTCCCAGTTCTAGGGATGAGGGCAAATTCACCTTTTCTTCTCTTTGATTGGGATTTACCTACACTGAGGGAGGATCTCCTCACTCAGTCTACCAACTCACACACCAGCCTTTTCCAAAACACCTTCATAGACATATCTAGAAATAATGCTTTACCAGCTGTCTAGGTATTCCTTAATCAAGTTGATACCTGAAATTGACCATCAAGAAAGAGCAAAAGAGTATTTTTCTTTCACTATTTTAGCAACAGTTTTTGATGAGCAACCCCATGGTTGTCAGGCTGGTCCTGGATTTGCATCCTGGCTCTGCCATTCACCCAGTGTATGATCTTGGGTGAGATACTTAACCTCTCTAGAGTTCTCTTTATTTATCAGCCAAGTGAGATTTGAATAATACATGCCCCCATAGGCATTGTCAGTGATGACTACTTGAGTTAAAACATGTAGCACATTGTAAACACTTTGAAAAAAGATGTTGGCATTTTTTTTTTTAAAGATGTAAATGTTTTTAACAGATCTTACTAGTAACAACCCTTTTGAAACACAATTTTAATGTCTATAACAATACTCATGGTGATTCCATGTTGAGACTAAGGAAATACTTCAAAATATGGAAAAGACTATATTCTGTGATTCAACACATTTCCAAACTCCCTACTATGTCTCAGACACTGGGCTTGGTGCTCAAACTACAGTAGTATAATATTGGGGATGTTAATACAAGACATACTATAATAGTAAAGACTGGTGGTCTGAATTTCTAATAGTGGAGAATATAGCAGAATAGTTATATTCATACTATGACATTTTGTAAAACCATTGAAAATGATAGCTCACTTATGATAAGTAAAAACAATAGGTTATAATTCAACAGAAAAAAAAAAAGATGCAAATGGAAAAAGACCAAAAGGAAATATGAACCAGTTTAATTAGATGAAGTGGGATTAAGGGGGGTTTGTAGGTTTCATTTTTCTTTTATCAAATTTCCAAAGTTTTGTAATTATATGTATTCACTGATCTTGCTTTTGAAATGATTAAATCCTAATTAACCAAATTTGCATGTACCATGGCTAGAGTAATTTTTTATACTTTCTAATTAATTTATACTTACTTATAAAGCAAAAGCACCTCCATTTCCATACTAAATAGCTTATTGTTTTATATTAACCCTCCCAGGCTTTTGGAGGGATCGGTAGAAAGACTCCTGGGAACCTGTCTGTGTTCCAGGGCATTGTAGGAAATTTAAATATATTGTCTTATTTTACCTTCATAATAACCTGGGAAGATACTATTAGCTCTGTTTTATAGAGAATTAGGAGACAGAATGATTTAAGTAATTCATCTGCTAAGGTGAAATAGGTAGCAAACAGAAGAATCAGGGTATCTATATATTATTTCATAAAGCTTATTATATGTTTCATTAATACTAATAATGGATTATTGCTTTTTGTTTAAGAAAATTTTCACAAAATCAGAATGTTTACCAGAGAGGCCATATCCCTCCTCCTGGCCCTGCTGGAGAGGACTATTCACAAAGGAGATACTTTTGGAATGTGAAGCCAAATGGCAGTCAAGCAGTCCAGGATAAGAGGTGGTGTCCTGGCAGTTATCAGAGACTGTCCTATCCGGCCTACTGGGGATGGACCGAGTGATACAAAACCTGTCCTGGATATCTCCCTGGAGACCAGAGCTGCACTGAAGATAACTGGAGTGACTTAATAAAATCAGGTCAAATGAGGTTTTTCAGGTCAAATGAGGTTTTTGCTTGTTTTTTTTTTTTTTATTTTTTATTTTATATGTATCTATTTTATTGTTTCCTTTATATGTGTTCAAGCTTTTAAAGGAATTACATTAATATTTACCTTTTTGCTGATAAATTTACAGTAATTACAGCAATACCAAAACAAAACAAACAAAAAACAGAACAAAATCTGTCATTCCAGTCTTAAAGTTTTCTAAAGGAAGATGATATTTTAGAACTTAAGTATTAAGAACTTCTCTTGCAAGTTATTTTTTAAAATAGTATCTTTTTTCTATGTATTTTCTTCTGACTAGACTTGTAACATAAGTTTGTGTATGTACAGAAATTTTTAGTGTTTTTTGTCATGTTCTATTGACCCAGTCATAAGGGTATCTTTTTTCCATAATTCTTCAAAATTTCAATTAAAATTTACCTAGGAGAAAATTTCTTTAGAAGCTAGTCACTATCTGTAATTAATTGTGGTGTTTTTGTGATTATATATTTCTTTCTTTGGCAGTTTTTTTGTGGTATTTGACCAACTTCCTTTCACTGAATTGCCAGATATACCATCTAACCCAGAGATGGATAAAATTTGAGAGATTGGTTAGCAGTTGGGTGAGAGAAACTGATTTGATAAACCAGAATGCTGGTTAATTAAATCAAATCATTATTTACCTGATAGGGTAAATGTCATGAATAGGGTAGAACTATCCAGAAAACTTAGAAACTTTATCGATTATAAAGGTTGACTGATGAACAAATGGGGTGTGATTATAAATTGCCTGGGATATCTGGCATGTTTTGATGTTATTGCTCCTCTGCTGAACATAACCCTCTGGGATTTTTCTCCAGTTACCTATCACTGGAGTGGTGCTTTACCTCAAGAACATGAAGGTAGATCATTTGGGAGAATGTTAATTATTTTTAGTGCAGAGGGAGCCAGAAACCTTTGTTTACCCAAGCCAAGTGTCTCATCATCCTCTCAATCAATATTTGATGAATACTTGGGCAACTTGGCTTCCTTTTTTAAAGCCTCTGGTTTTGAGGATTTCTGATACTGCATATGAGGGGTATTTTCTCTGTTCTCTCTTGTGTATGAACAATCTGACTTTAAGGAAGTATTCTACTTCAGCTGTTCTTGCCTGTATCTGATTGGCTCAATCAGAGTACTCTATTTGATCTAAGTAATGGCTCATAAAGTTTTTCTCTGCTCTCCACATTTAACAGAGATACAAAAGTCCTTCTTGCTACAAGCCTACTCTTATAGAATTGTTCCCCAGGATACATCCTGAAGGCTCACATTGGAAGAAATTGGAGCAAGACAACTGTAAGGCAAAGCAGAATCAGCAGGGGTAGGTATGGGAATCCAGCTAGTCTCATAGTTGTGAAAAAGGCCTTGGCAAGCAGCTTCAAAGGAAAACACTCCCAGTAGAAAGGGCCATCATATAAGCTTTGCCTCCTTCAAAAATTTTTATTTATCATCCCTTTTGTATTCTCCCTTATTTTAGCTATCAGCATGGCTTGTTTAAAAAAAAAAAAAAAAAACTAATTAGGATTTGATATCTCCTGTTTCATTTATTCTGTAACACATTGGTTCTGGTTTCTGCTCATACCATTGAAAGGCTTCTGGCTGAAAGGACCAGCAGCCCCCTTTTAAAAAGGGCTTTCGTAGTCTGTTCAGGCTTTTAAAATTTATGTTTTTATTTAAAAAGCACATTTTAAAACTCAGATAGCTCTACTGAGATTACCATGAAAAAGAACAGTCCTCTACCCTGCCCCAATATTCTTTTCTCAGAAGCAACCACCTTAAGTATTTTCATGTTATCATCTGGTATTTGACTCCATTATTTAAATAATATGACTATAGCCACTTCTTGTTTTTTCAATTTGTGATACTATGGTAGATGAGGAGAATGCTTTTGCAGACCTTCTACCCATTCCACACATAAAACTTGTGGTTAAATCTGTTCTAAATTCATGTTACTAGTTAAATATTATTCCATGAGCCATAAGGTACCATAGTTACGTTTCTTATAATCCCCTTTTCCCTGTCATTTTTGCTTCATTTTTTGCCTCTTTCCCTATGGACCTATCACTAGTTCGTACCCCAAATCTCTAATAGCATTATAAAATATCTCAACATGGGTAAATTCATCAGATTCTTTTTCGTTTGAAATCTTCCCTGGAGCCCTCTTGGTCTGTTTCAGGTTAGGTTCTGTGTTTGTTTTCTAGGGCTACCATAACAAAATACCACAGACTGGGTAGCTTAAATTACAGAAATGTGTTTGCTAATAGTTCTGGAAACTAGAAAAGATAAAGATGTCAGCAGGGTTGATTTCTTTGAGGCTTATCATTTTGTGGATGACTGGTTCTTCCTGTGTCTTTGCATGGTCTTTCTTTTGTGTTTGTCAGTGTCCTAATCTCTCTCTCTCTCCAGTGGTTTTTTGTTGGTTTGGTTTAGGTTTTTGGTGGTGCTAGGGATTGAATCCAGGTCCTCACTTACTAGGGAGGTGCTGTACCTCTGAGCTACATCATCAGCCCTTTCCTCTTAAAAGGATGTCAGTCATGTTGGATGAGGGCCCATCCTAGCACCTCACTTGAATTTACTTACCTGGTTAAAAGCTCTGTCTCCCAACTACAGTCACATCTCCAGATGTTGGTAGTTAGAACTTCAACATAGGAATTTGGGGGGAACACAACTCTGTCCGTAACAACTCTGTCTCTAGACCTAGGCATAGCTCCTTCCCCGGAATTCCACTTCATCTTTACCCTGTTTATTTCTTAGGCCTCTCTTGTGTCTCCTGGATCCTGTAGCTGCTGCTTTCATGGTTTCCTTCCCTATTTGGTGGATTATATCCTTCAGTAGTCAATGGGATGTAATTTTTTTTTTAATAGTATTTTTTAGTTGTAGATGGACACAATACTTTTATTTTATTTGTTTATTTTTATGTAGTGCCAGGGATATAACCCAGTGCCTCACGCATGCTAGGCAAGCACTCCACCACTGAGCCCCAACCCTGGCCCCCAGGATGTAAATTTTTTGAAATTCTTTAGTGACAAATTGATTTATTTTTTTCTTCATTAATAGTTGAATTTGCTATAAAATTGCAGGTGAGCACTTTTAAATGCATGTATACATTGTTCTGCACGTCATTGTTACTGTTGAATCCTGTAACTATTCTGATTCTGGAGCTTTTATTTTTTTTTCTTGAAGCTTTAAGGTCTTTATTTCAGGTGTCTTAATGTATTTTAAAATGCATAATACTATATTTAGTGAGCTTTTCAATCTGGCAAGTTATGAGAAATTTTCATTTTTATGCTCTTCTGGGGGAACTAGTTGAATGTTGGATTTTCTGAAATGTACCTCTAAGTTAATTGTATATTTTTTTCTCCTATTTTCTATTTTTAAGCCCTTTGCTTTTTTAAAAAATCTGCTGTTTTCTAAACACACACTTGTGTGTATGTAATTATATATTTTTTCGGGGTTTTTTTATATGTGTATAATTTTAAAGAGATGGGATCTTACTATGTTGCCCAGGCTGGTCCTGAATTACCAGGCTCAAGCAATCCTTTGCCTCAGCCTCCTGAGTAGCCAAGACTTTGGGCTTATTCTACTACCACCTCTAATACTTACTTCTAAGAACTAGCTCTTTTTTTTTTTTTTTTAATGAATGTATTATCTTTTATCTCTTTAATGATACCTGTTTTTAAAGTTCCTTTTGATCTCCGCATCAACTTTCTTTTTTCCCTTGTTTGTGCCTCTGTTTCTCATGTTAGAGGTGTTCTTGAAATACCTGGTAACCCTATTTATTGGCCCTGTCTATATTTAAGATTGGGGCATTAAAACTGATGGAAGCTCTGTTTTCTCATAGTAATAAGGTGATTGGTCACTTTGTTTTCTGTTTACTTTCCCACTGCTGCACACATTTAGGTTTTATTTTTCTCCATTTTGATAGTATCATCTTTGAAAATTTTATTGCCATCTGTCATCTATATTCATCATCTATCCCACTTTTTTGGGAATTTTTATCTTTAAATATACCTTTACTGTTATTTGGTGGGGTTTGAGTAGGGGCTAGAGATAGCTATGAGACCCAGCATAATGAGAATTTAATTGCCAAATAAATTGCTGTAAGGGTTTATCCTCAGTTTGGTAAGCTTGAGTTTTTAAAAAAATTTAGTGCATTGTGTCCCAGGAGTGCAGGCCATTGAGTTATGATTTGGAGCCACAAACATTCCTACTATGGAAGGAGGCCCCATCTAGGATCCTATCTAAACCTTCTTTCCAGTGAAATTGCAATAACTGTCCCAGAATTATGTCCTGAAAATAGTTCAGTCATGTTATTCTCCTCTTGGAAATCTTGAATGGCTTATGGGCTTCAGATTCCATTTTTAGCTCCTTGTCAAGGCTTTCTTTATCTGACTGCAAGCTGACTTCTCAAAGCCTTTTACTATGTTCCACTCCATGTCTGTGTGCCAGCCATTTCATGGTACATTGCGCCATACACATTTATGCCACCATGTGCTTATTCTTCCAGGTTGTTCCCTTGGCTGTAGTCTCTCCCCTGTGGTTGCTGTGAGCCAGTCCTTCTCATTGTATAAGCTACATCTCTATAAAGTCTTTTCTCCCATCCCTGCCCACTAAGGGAAAGATCCCTTTTTCAACAACTTACCTTGTCATTTTATTTATGTCTTGTGCTATATGAAATACAGGTTCTAGGGCACCATCTCAGGCTTCCTCAACCCCTTCCTTCTCTGAAAGCACCGTCTGCCTCTGCGTCCACATTCCCCTTTTTTAAAAACCTTTGATACCAAATCTTATTGAGATCCCCAAGTTAACTAGAATCCAAGTTAGCTCTGGGCCTGCAAGGTCCTTCCAGCCCTGCACCTTGTATACTCTCTTCACAGATATGGCCCTACTTTAGAGGAAATGCTATACAATAGCTTTCTGGGCTGCCACTGAAGGGTGAGGTAATGATCCAGAAGTGTGGAGGAGTCTGCTCCCTCTAGGGGTTCTTGATGAATGAAGTGTTGAGGACCAGAGGGAGCCTGCCCCTTCTTTTCCCTGCTGAACACTACTCTCAACCATGTTTCTGAGCCTTCCAGAGAAGGTCCGGCTTACTGAGTGAATACACATGCCAGACATCCTGCACGTCTTTCTGGCTCATTGTAAAGCAACGTTGCATCACATTGCTTAGCATTGCTTCTTGCTTCGCTTACCCTTTTCTTCACCCTTACCACTCTGTTTTTAAATACTGCAAATAAAATACCAGTGATTTAATCCTTGCCTCAGACTCTGCTTTCTAGAGGATCTCAGATAGTTGTTTAAATATCAACCACACACATATAAAAGTGGGAAGTGCCTGATACCTCCCACTAATTTAACATTGAATTCTACAAATACTTACACCTTTTTTAAGAACAGAGAGAGATGCCAGTTACATCTACGATA